CAGTGCTGCCTTAGCTTGTCTGCAACGAGAGTCCCCAGGCGGCTGTCCACAGTGCCCATGGGTGGCCTGGGGTGCCCCTCTCCGGTGCGTGCGCCCACGGCGCTCAGCTGGAGGACCAGGACCCCATGTCCAGTGAGCACGCACCGTGACCCCTCCGGGGCGTTACACAGTCCCACCTAGCTCCTGCACGCCGTGTGGCTGACACCCCTGCTGGTTAGAGTGCTCCGCCTGACCCGACACAGCGCACAGCACAGCGACGGCCCGGTCCTTTGTCCTCCCCGCCCGCTGAGATCCAGGGCTTCAAAGGCCAGCTCACAGCCCACAGCCCCAACAGGCTCTCCCCTGCGCCTGGCCAGGGCTCATCCTCCCTGGTCCCCAGTGAGCCACGCTGCCACGGCACTGAGGCCGGCACACACCGCATTCAGGCACAACTGGGATCAGAACGGACGCTGGCATCCCAGAACCAGGACGGCGGAGGCTGCCGGCTCCGCCTGGACGGCCCCCTCTCCCCCGCGCTCCCCGAGGAAAACGCCCCGCCATCACGCCCGTGAGCGCAGAGAAGGTGGACAGAGACAGGGAGTGTCCATTGGGGGTTCTGTGGCCAGCGAGGGCCCTCCAGGAAGCAAGGGGGGTACCGACATCCCCAGGAGAGGGAAAGCGCGGGGAGGGGCTGTAAGCAAACCCACGCCTAGTGAGTGGCTGCTGGAAGTTCCCCACACAGAGGGGCGAGTGGCAGAGGCTTAGGGCCCCGGAAGGAAGGGGCGCTCTCAGCATAGGGAGAAACAGGGGTGAACCGAGCAAACCATCCTACTTTCTGTGACATTTTTAAATCATATTTGATGGCTGAAGCAAAGCCAATGACCTGGTGCTCCAAGTGTTAAGAAATTACCTAAGTCATTTAAATTTAAAATGTGTTGGGGGGTAAAGGTAGCAAAGTGGAAGTAAAGTTCCCAGACGTCACTTAAAGTTGTAAAACACAGACTCCTGGTCAGCGGGGCAGGCCGTACATGCACACCGAGAACCCAGGCAGCCACCAAGAAAGTGGCGCAGGGCTTTGATGGTCACACTTGAAAGCCAATCGCCAATCAATCAAAAGTGGTCTCCTGCCCTGGCCGGGTGGCTCAGCTCATCGGAGCGTCGTCCCGTACACCAAAAGGTTGCAGGTTTGATCCCCGGCCGGGGCACATATAAGAGGCAACCAATGGATGTTTGTTTCTCGTATCAATGTTTCTCTCTCTCTCCCTCTTCCTCTCTAAAACAAAACAGATCCTCAGGGGAGAATTAAAAATATACATATATATTTATATATACGAAATCCTACAACACGTTTAAATAACCCACAGGAACATAAGAAACAGAAAAAGCCCTCAAAAATAATAAAATGAGACTTATGCCCTAACATATTAGTAATTATTTTCTGTTAAGTGTAACTGGTCTAAATATACAGAGTAATTGACAGGGATGAACAGAGTAGATAAAGAAAATATGATTAACAATATACAAACTCAATTCATACAATGATACGGCTAGGCAGGTTGAAAGTAAAAGGATGTAAGAACATATACCATGAAAGCATTTGTAACAAGCCAAAGTGGTAATGATGAAATAGATAAACTTCAGAGCAAAGAAAATCACCCGAGACAAAGAGGGACATAATGACAAAGAGGTTAATCCCCCAGGAAGACATAATCCTACACGTTTACACACTATACAACGCAGTCTCAAACTACTTGAGGCAAACAGTGATTGAGCTAAAGGAAAAGTCAACAAATCCACAATTATACCGACGACCCTTGAACAACACAGGGTGAACTGCGTAGGTCCACATACATGCAGATTTTCCCAATGGGTTCTGTAAATGTGTTTTCTCTTCCTTGTGATTTTCTTAATGTTTACTTTTCTCTAGCTTACTTTATCATAATAATATAGTATATACTACATATAACATATAAAATATATGTTATATTGACTTTCTGTTATCAGTAAGGCTTCCAGTCAACACCGGGCTATTGTAGCTAAGCTTTGGGGGACTTAGAAGTCACATGCATGTTTTTGACTGCGTGGAGGGTCAGCACCCCTCGCCCTGTGTGATTCAGGGGTCAGCTGGAGACTTCAGCACCTCACTCTCGGCAACAGACAGAACCACGAAACCAGCAAGGATACAGAAGAACATGCCCCCGCTCCCCCACAACAGGATCTGAATAGATGGAGCACTTCCCCAAATAACAAACCTTTTTTCAGGTTTCCATGGAACATTCGCTGACCCAGGCCCACAGAATATACGCCGAGACATATCCTATTCCGTTCACGGAAAAGACCTAGGCAGGAGCAGGGAGACAAGCGGGCGCCCATCCCAGGCGGACGGACACGGTGCTCAGTGGGACCTCCGCACGTGGGCGCTCCTCAGCGATCACGGTGCAAGGCTGCTGATTAGTGACTTGGGGACCACCTGGGTGACTTTCCCGGGTGTTCTGCTGAGTGACAGCAGCCGATTCCAAAAGGTCGCATTTTGCACGATTTCCTTTATATGAAATCCTTGAAGTGACAAAATTATAAACCTGGGTAAGAGAACAGTCAGGTAGGGAGTGGCTATCAAAGGCAACAGGAGGCACCCTGTGGTGACAGAGTTCTGTGTCTCCCTGGCGTCACCGTCCCGGCTGTGACCCCGCACCCCAGTGTTGCATGGTGCCCCTGGTGGGCGACTCAGTCGAAGGGACATGGGGTCTCTGAATTGTTGCTTACAGCTGCATAGGACGATGTCATTATCTCTAAATTAAAAGTTTAATTAAAAAAAAAAAGATTAGGTTGGGTTCCCAGCGCTGCCACCTGCTAATTAGGTAACTGACCTTGAGCAGATTTGAAACTCTCTGCTTGGATTTCCTTATTGGCTACACGGGACAAAGCCACCCCGAGTGCTGTGAAAATTAAACGTCACGAAGGGAAGGGGCCTGCCATGAGTACGGCTCACAGCCAGGGCTTTAAAAGCAGCCCGTCGACACTGAATGTGTTTTAAACACAAATATTATTCTGAGGAGCAACATTCAAATGTCCGCTCTTAGAGCCACAACAAAGCAGATTTACTTAAAAAGTCTCTTCCCAAAGTGATCTGTCCAAACAAAAAGGAGGGAGGGTAAATTTTGGTTTCAGAATGAAAGCTGAATTTCTAATGAGTAATTGAAATAGTCACAACAAATAAAGTGAGTTTAATACAGAACTACAATTAGTGAAAAAGTTCAGAAGGAAGAAATGGCATTGGTTTAAATGTCTTGCTTCTGCTGATAAGGAAGTCAGCAAAAGTTAACATTTCTATGCATTGGGAAGAGCTTAAGACTGCGTTTTCTAAACCGTACTTAACCACCGATTTTGATTTAAGTTTCTGTTTCAAACTATTTTCTCTGCCTCTGGAGTTGAAAGAAACCAGGAGCCAGTCCGCCAAACCTTACTGCTCTTCTACCTGCCTCGTTTGGAGGCCAAAAAAGTAGCAAAAATAAAATCTGGCTCAGCAGCACAGAAAGACAATCACATGCACTTCATCCCAGAAAAGGAGGGGAATTTTAAAGGCACAGCTGACCCCCCTGACTCACTCTGGGCACCTGGCCTTCAACGCTGCAGCGCTGGGCCGCGCGCTGACTCACAGGCTCTTGAAAGAGGTGACGGCGACAGGGGGATTGGGATTATCATCCCAAAAGTCCTCCCCCCCACCGCCCCCCTCTTCCTGACCCCAAAAGGGCCACTTCTACCACGAAGACAGCGCCAAACAACAGAGGCAGGGCGGGAACGCGGTGCCAGAGCCCTGCTGCTGCCGGGGAGTGTGCGGCCTGGCCCGCACCCCGCCCCGCCCAGAGCCACTGGTCTCGAGGCCGGAGCTTCCTCGGGGGCGAGGGAGGCCAAGGCTCCTGACGGCTCCCCGACCTCTGCTAACTGTGAAGCCCCCCAGGCACTTCACGACCGAGGCTGTAGGCCGCTTTCTGGAGGGGCCGCCCGCTCTGCCTCGGCCTGGGCTCCGGGAACGCGGGCCGGGGAAGCGCAGGCGGGGGCCACGGCCGGGCAGGGCAGGCGTGGTGAAACGGGACACACGGTCTCCGGGCGCGGGGCCGCCTTGCCGACTTCGCCGGCTCCTCTGGGCTCCGTGCCTCTGCGGCCCAAGCTCTGCGAACGCTACAGGTTGTTTTTTTCTCCCTCAAATAAACTGTAAAGAACGAAAACGGAGCAAGAGGCAGAGGAGAACCCGGCGATGACCCGGCAGGGATGACATGTGTCAAACGCTCGACGCGAGGACTTAACTGGTGTCCCGGCACAAACAAACGAGGCCCCTCCGTGCGGGCGCCGGGCGCCGATGCGGGCGACGCGCTTCCAAGGTCTGGCAGGGGCACCGCGGGCGCGTCCCGCACAAGCGGCTCGATCGCTCGGTGACTCCTGCCAGGACGCTTTCTAGTGTCATCGCCCGGCGTCGGCGCTCGGCCTCCAGACCGCGCGGGCGCAGGTGACGGGCCCGGCTCGGCGGCGGCGGGCGCAGGGGCGGAGGCCCAGGGCCGCGGGCACGCCCCGCCGGCCCTGCTCGCCCCCTGCGGGGCGCGCGTCTGAAGTTCTGATGAGCAGTTTAGAAGGAGAGGCCGCGGCCGGCGCCCTTCCCGGGCCACGGCGCCCCTCCGCGCCCGCGGGCAGGGCCGGCTCCCGGCTGCGAGGGCGTGAGCAGAGGCCCGCCCGCCCGCGCCCCGCGGCCTGTGCCCTCCCGGTCCCCGGAGGCCGGCCAGCTCTCCCGCTTCCAGCGCCGCAAGCCCCCGGAGGGGCCGGCGCGGAGGCCGCCCCTCCGACGGGCGAGGGGGCGCGCGTCCTCGGCCGGCTTCCCCGAGTCTGGGGGTGCGGAGCCGCTGGGGCGGTCCGGACCGGGGGCCGACCGGAGGGGGGCGCACTCCCGGCCGGGCGCGGGGGGCCGCGGGGCCGCCCCTGCACGCCCCTGGGCGCACCTGGGGCAGGTGTGCGGGCGGGGACGCACGCACCTTGAGGATGTTGTCGAAGATGGTGTCGCGGAACTCGAGCAGCGCCTTCTGGTCGAACTCGCGGCCGTGGATGATGCGCATCTGCTTGAGGAACGTGGACTTGCCGCTCTCGCCGGCGCCCAGCAGCAGGATCTTGACGAGGCGCCGCACGGCGCGCCGCTCGCGGGCCAGCCCCGCGTCGATGTCCCGGCTGCGCCGCCGCGCCTCGCGCTCCGCGTCGCGGGCCCCGCTGCCGCCCGCCCTGCGCTCGCGGGCCCCGCCGGCCTCGGCCGGCAGCAGGCAGCGGCTGAGGGTCCGCACCACGCCGGACATGGCCGCTCAGGCCATGGACCCCGCCGCGGGCGAGGCGAGCCCCGCGCGGCAGCCGGCCGCTCCCTCAGGCCGCGTCCGCCGCCGCCGCCCGGAGGCCCGCTCTCGCCCGCCGCCTTGCCCCGGCGGAGGGGCGGGGCGACGCGGCCCGAAGCCCGGGGATTGGGCCGGCTGCCGCCCATAGGGCCGAACGTGCCCTTCGATTGGTTCATTCCACGCCGAAAGGCGGGCATCCTTCGGCTTTTGGGGCGGGGTAGGAGCCAAAAGAGGCTGGATCGTTAGGGTGGGGGCGCTTCTCATTGGACGGCTGGCCGAGTTTCTTTCTTTCAGAATGAAAGGGAGGCGGGGTCATCGGGAGGAGGAACAGCCGTTCACCATGACCAATTATTATTGGTCTGGTCTCACGTCAATCACATCGAGTGGGCCTCGGATTGGGGAGTTTGCGAAACGGGGCGGGACCCAAAGTGCCAGGTGTACAGAACTTCGCCCCGGCTTCTCAGATTGGTTCAACCTGTGAGACCTGGGAGTTAGCTGAGTCGGCTCCGCGTTGCCCGAGAGCTGGGGAATGCCGATGAGAGGTCTACCTGCTCGTCTTGTGTTTAGAGAGACAGCTGTTCCTAAACCGTTTCTTTCCAGAAGCACCGGAGGGGGATGGGCCATCCATCTCAGACAAACGCACCCTTTGAGAGCGGCAGGGGCCTCTGGGCTGCTTTCCTCAGAGCTGGTTAATCATCTGAATCACCAGAAGTCCCCCCAAAGCCCTCTGCAGCGCCGTAACTGAGAGTGTGGCTGGAGCTGCTGGGTCTGAGAGCTGGGATCTGCACTCGACCCCCAACTCGTCGACTAGTTACAAAATCTTTCAGGCAGCTCTGCCTCCTCCTCCACCTGGTTTTACCTCCATTTTGCTCGTCTGTAAAATGGAACCGCGATAGCAATGGCTGCGAAGCTATATACTGAGATGAACTTGTAAAACCCTTGGCACGGTGCCTGGACCCAAGGACGTTCCTGCTAAGTGTTGACTGATTGTATTACAGTCTTAGTGTGAGTCAAAAGCTCCTGGAAGAAACGCAGGTATCTCTTCATCTCTAGGTGATTGGTCAGATGTAGAAACCATGCGCTGTTAAAGACAACCTGAGGCATGTGAAGAATTTTAAGAGTTTGAGCAAAAATCTATGCCAGTCGCGCAATAGGAGCACTCCCCGCCCCCAGCCAGATCACAGACTTCACAGAGAAAGCGCAGAAGCAAAGAAAGGAAAAGCGTTTGATTGGCTATAGCCGGGCAACTAATTGGTTGGTTGCGACTGGTCGTCCGTAGCGTTTTGATTTTGTAACCTTGTGCCTTTGCAGGCTTCCGTCCTGGTTTTCTTACACAGGCCACTTCAGGCTAGGGGTTACCTTGTTGAATTAAAGGTCAAAGGCCACCCTGTGCAAACCTTCCTTCTCTTCAGGTGCAGGTGGATAAAATGAAGCCTAGCCACGAACGACTCAGCCGGGGTCCCACGCAGGGGCTGGTGAGCACCCAGTCCTGGTCCACTTTGAGGGCACAGGGGCAGAGGGGGAGACACGCTAGAACGCATTAGAGAATGGGATCTCATTCAGTTCTACAGATAACGTTTTTGCATAGTCGTGAAACTGCCAGGCACCGAGGGCTTCTGGAGAGGAATCTGAAGGCGGAAAAGTGCAGCTTTTGTGTCAAGAAACTCCCACCGTAGTCAGGGAGCTCAGGGCTCAAGGCCCCAGGGGAGTGCAGAGCCATGAACCCCTCGGCGCCGTCTGCCCGGGTGCTCAGTGTTTGAACTCAGAGACCCGAACTCCCTGAGGACACTGAATGTCTGCGATGTGGCATTTGTCAGTTGCTGAGGCATGAATCTGTGTCACTTATGAGTCAACAAATTATCTAGCTTGTCATCCTTCAAAATGATGAAAAAAAGCTTGGTTTCTTTGTGAAAATGGTCTTCCAAAAAAAAAAAAAAAAGCCAAACACCAGTTTTGTGATGGAGGTGAAGGAAGAGTGAGAGGCCTCAGAAGGCAAATATTTCTTAGAATGAAAATAGGAATTTTGAACAAATAAGAAAGCGATTGTGTACAGCAATGGATCAGTGTCAGCCCCTTGGCAGTTAAAAGAAGTAAAGGTGAATCAGAAAACACTCTGAGCAGAGGTGAAAGAGAATCAAGTAATACATCCAAAACTAAAACTATGTTAATTGAAATAAAAACTTAAGAGATACATTAAGTTGCAGATTCAAACATAGGTGAAGAGAATAAATTGAATAATAGATTAAAAAAAAATTTACCAAGGATCCTACAAAGACAGGGAGGACAGGAGACAGGAAAGACAGAGGAAGAATCTCTAACATATATTTAACCATAGTTCTTAAAAAAGGATATAAAGAATGAAGAGGAGACAATATTAGAAGTGATAATGGCTGAGAATTTTAAACTGACAAATAGCACAAAATGCTTAGCTAGATAAATAAAAACAAATACAGACTGAGATATACCAGAGTGAAGCTGAAGGGCACCAAAGACAAATAGAAGATCTTAAAAGCAGCCAGAGAGAAAAATAATAATAATAATAGCTACTATTTATAGCATAGTTACCAGGTGCGGGGCCCTATGCTAAGCGCATTGCACGAGCCAGCTCACTTAACCCTCATAGGAACCCCACGAACTCAGAGCCAATGTCTCAGCGACAGAAGCGGGAGCCAGATGGGAAATCATAGCTTCAGAGCACTGGGAGAAAATAACCATTAACAAAGAATTGTAAACCCTGCAAAAATATCTTCCAAAAAAATGGAGAAAATGAGGGCATGTCAGACAGATAAAAACAGCTTATTTTATATATTGTGTGTTAAGGGCGGGATTCGTATGTTGAAGCCCTAACCCCCAGTCCCTCAGGATGTTGCTGCATTTGGAGTTCGGGCTTTAAAGAAGTGATTAAGTTACAGTGAGACCTCTAGGGTGGGCCTTGATCCAGTATGACTGGTGTCCTTTGAAGAAAAGGAAACCTGGGCACAGGCGCAGACAGAGGGCAGGCCACGTGAAGACACAAGGAGAGGACGGCCGTCTGCGAGCCTGAGAGGGGCCGCAGGAGACGCCGACCCTGCCAACACCTGCTCTTGCACTTCTAGGTCTGTGAGAAAGTACATTTCCGCTGTTGTATCGCCCAGTCCGTGTTACTTCATGGTGTCGGCCCCTTTGTGATCTAGCGCAATGTGCTTCAGGAAGAAGGAAACCAATCTCAGAAGGAAGCATTCCCACACAAGAGAGGAATTGTGAACACATAGTACTTTTATCATTGACTGTATTAAACAATAATAATTTTAACTTGTGGAGTTGATAAAAAATAGAACTAAAAACACTGGACACAAAAGGCGTGTGTCAGGAAGGGCCAAGCATAATTAAAGTGTTCTAAAATCTTTGAATTGTTTGAGAAGAGAATAAATATTTTGATTAATGTTCAACTTTGTTGAGTTACATAGTCATGTTAAAACGTTTAGGGTAAACACAAAATGAAGAGAGATAGGGTGTATGATTTCCACACAAGCAGAGAGGAAAAATGGGATGCGGGAACGAGAATCAACCAACACAAAGGAATGCAAAAAAATAAAAAAACCCCATAAGATTAAAAACAGAACAACTTAAACAAAATGAAAAGGTGGAAATAAACCCATACATATGATTTACCAAATCAAATATAAATAAACTAAAATGGTTAGAAGATAAAGATTGTAAGACTGGATGAAATAAAAACAAGGTTCAGCTACCTGCTTCTCGAGGACATACCTGAAGAACTGGAAAAGATCAAAGTGAAAGAAAAAATGGAGAGAGATTCGCCAGGCAAATGGCCACCAAAGGAAGCCTGGCAAAGCTTTGTGAAGAGGAGACAAAATAGATTTTAAGTCTAAAGTCTGATGAGTGATAAGGACTCCTTTTGTGCAATGAAAAGGCTAATTCCATGGTGAGACATAACAAGTCCAAACTTGCATGTGGCTAATAACATAGCTTCAAATATTCAAGGCAAAGAAGTGGACAAACCTCAAGGGGCAGCTGAAGAGTCCCCCGTTGTTGCTGGGGAGAGGGCAAGGGTTGAACGCGCTTCTTCCTGTGCCGCAGTGAACAGGTTTGACCTGCACAACATACGCTGAACAGTCAACCCAATGATCAGAGAACACACATTCTGCTCAAGTCCGAGGAACGTTTTAAAAAATCGGCCACATCATAGGCCCTAAAGCAAATCTTGACACATTTTAAAGGACTGATATCATGCAGACCACATTCTCTGACCACGTTGTAATTACATTTGATATCACGAACATACATATATCTTCTGAAAAGTCCAAAGTTACAGAAATTAAAAATACACCTGAGTAAACATTCAGAAGCTGGTTAAACTTGTTTGTCACTGCGTCCTGGTAAAGATTCTGGGGCTCTTAGTTACCACGCCCTCGTCCGATTCACCCTGACGTTACGACTCCGTGAGCCGTGGGGTCGGACAGTGGGGGCAGGCTCCGCATTCCAGCCGGGGCTCTGTCCTCTGTCGGCTGCGGGACCTCGAGTGAATGGCGTGACCTCGCTGTGCCTCGCCTTCCCTCATCTGTGACGTGGGGATGATGATGCGCTAGTACGACAAGGTTGAAACCAGTAAAAATGAAAGGAGATGACATGCATCGAGCCCTAAGAAGAATGGCACGAAGTAAGGTCTCCGTACATGCCAGTTATCACTATTATCCTCCTCACATTGCAGACGAAAAGCCGACACTAAGCAATGTAAAGCCTCTCGCCCCAACTCACGCTGAAGGAGGGGCAAAAGCCGAATTTGAATCCCGGTCTTTCAGCCTCACCGGGCACCTGGTGCTCCCCGGATGGTGTCACGTGTCTCCCGGCACAGACCCCTTGTGATGAAGAATAGGGTCACCATTCCTTCCTCCTCCCGCCTCCCACCCAGAAGAGCCTGGCTGCGGTGGTCACACGGGGAAGATTGCTCCTGCCTCCCTGCCTTGGCCCCGGCTGTCCCCTCAGCCCAGAGACGACCCCGCCCCCCTCTCCCTCCCAGCTCTCACCTTGCAGCTGAGCTCGGGCAACACCTTCTCAG